GCCAATCTCATTATATATTCAAAATAGATGATTTATTAACCACGCTCCTATAAGAAAGGTGCCAAAATAATGTATGTTGGCTATGGATATTGACAATGTAGCATACAATGTAAAACGTAAGGCTTAAATATAATTTTCCAGTACCAGAGCCTGAAAACTGGTTTACTCATTATATATTCAAAATGGCGGCCTTGTGGCCACGCCCACCATTGGGAAGATGGCAGACAACCTAATTCTTGTCAGACACACCCTAAGGTATGCGAAAAACATCATCTTGAAAAATCCCCAAAGGGGGGGAGGGTTTCCTTTTCTGGCCCATGGACTATATAAAGTACTAGGCACATGCAAAGAATGAACGGAATTAGTCCAAGGGATTCTGAGATATGACTCCGGACGGACGCACAGACACATGGACGGAGACCGAATTATAAGTTAATAATTATAAGTTATAATTAACAATTCATTGAAAATGACACAGTCTCAGTACTTCACAAAGTGATCTCTTATGAGTTATACATCAGATATTCTAAAGGAAAAGGATGAGGTAATTGCATATGAAAGCAAAAACCTGTGTATAAGAATCAGCCGGGGCATGTCATTGGAAATGACATTGGAGGAAAAAATAAAAACCAAAACATCAGTTCCTGTTTCAGACCCGATGGGGAGAACATGTACATAGCATATGAATAGATAAAGAGTTGATTTGCTATATATAACAGTAAAACCAACATGCAATAATGCATGTTTTGATGCTCAGAAAGGTGTTCTGATAATTCCACACTTGTTTATGACCCTTATTACATTAGTCAAAATACCAATGCAAAACATGACAAATGTCAAACACATGCTACACCATCCATATGAACAAATAAAAAAAGGTGATATCAGTGATCTTTTGATATCCATCTATTGCTATTGTCACAGTTTGAATTTGTACTACCATTCTGTGTAGCAGATAAGTTTAATTATTTGCTGGGGTTTTTTTTCGCTTATTTCACTGAGGGCTGAATATGCAAAGTTAACCAAAGAATGTATTTGTTTCCCTTTTTAAAACAGTGAATTTATAACATATTAAATATCCCTGCAACATTGAAATAGAATCCACTAAAATTAAAACAAAACAAAACAGTGAATATGTCTGAGCAGTGAGATTAAGAGTTAAAAAAATGTTTGTTCTCACCAGTTCACGTCATCCCAGTCATTTCTTATGATTAACCAAAAGTACAGCCATAACACCATAAAACTAAAGCCGAGGATTGAAATGATGAACCATATTCTTTCTTTCTGTAGACACAATAGAATCAAATAAAATGAAAAGAAACTATAGAGCACATTCTTTCATTAGTTGCATAGGTAAAACTTCATTGTATTCAAAATATGACTTAGTTTGGCCATAGACTTACCTCTGTCATTTACGCAAATACAGTAATACATACAGTTTTGAATTATGTATACAATGATAGTATTTTAAATACACAACTGACTGACTGACAGTAACTGGGTTCCTAACATTTAACCATTTATGTCACACCACTTTTTTCTAATAGGACCACCAACTTGTTTTCATATGCATCATTGTATAACAAAAAAATGCAATAGTATATGAATATCAATTTGGACAACTAAATTATTAATAACACCTGAGAATAGAGGTCAATTAACTCTGACCGACTCAAAACACTATACAAGTACCATTCTATCATTGCTCTTTTGACCTTAGCAGCTTTCATAGTTAATTTATAACAGACTTGTTCTGATTTATAACCACAGAGAAAATATATTTTCAGTTCATCTCAAGGTAGACTAATTATAAGTAATGTTCCTGTTTCATAAACAACTGCAATATTACTAAACAGTACAATCTTTTTCACAATTTTTTTTGCTTTTTTTTTGAAAACCTTAATTGGAAAATAAGCAGAATGAATTTTTATAGTTCTTTTTCCCAATGAATACAAGAAAAAAATGTGCTATAAATACAATACGATTTTAAGATTATGATTGTCAGTACGACTCATACTGGATTACGTAATTTAATGGCAGCTGTATTCATTTTTTTTTACCAAATATTCAATAAACTATAAATAAAACATTATATTTTGTTAAATTAAACTTACCCATGATGTATCAGAAGTAGAGCGCTGATATCGTTTCCATCTGCACCCATATAGACCAGTTACACATGACAGACATACTTGTTGTTCGTATCTCTGGCGTGCTTCTAATCTCAAATGCGACACCATTTTAGAACACTCTCGCTTTATCAAATGATTACCTCTAACTATGTATTTTCAAAACACATTGTTTACCAGTTAGCTATTTTATTTTTGGCTTGCTGACCTTTGTTATTCATACTGTATTGTCTGGCTTAGAGGCCACCTGGAATAATAAATTTATAAACAATTTATAATGCATAATATCATACATTTATTATATACTGTTTTATACATATAAAAAATCATACCAAAACTGAATATGTCTTGAATCATTCACTATACCCTGACAAATATATATATAACAATCAAAGCATGATAATTTTAAAACAATACCATAGAAAATGTTTTGTTATAATGTAATTTTATACATATAATGGGAGATAACAAGAAAATGGATTACATGAAACACAGCATTTTTATAATTCCATTTAAATTGTTCAGTACTGTTTTACATTCACTGTGTCAACAAAACATGTACATGTATTTTATCATCAAAAACAGTACATGTATTAATTTCTTCAGTGCTGCATTTTGCATTTCATTAGTAGATTGAAAGAATTATAATTTTTTTTCCTGAAGACAACAACTAAAACGTAACTTCGTGAGTATGTAATTTACTGACCGCGTGTATTGCAGTGTATCCTACAACTAATGAAAAACAGCACCCGCCCCCAACACGTATCTAGCTACAGGCTCTATGATATGGTGTGGTGTCATCGTCATCCGGATATTAGTATAATGTTTAAAACAGAAGCATAGAAGTTTCTGTTTCAAAATAAATAATATTAACTCACAGGTGCGCTCTTTTCCTTCCCAGATGTGACAAGTCGTATAAATCATAAATTTTCACCAGGGGCAACGGTGGATCAGTCAGACAACTTCGATCATTTTGACAAATTGGCCGAAGTTAAAATGTAAGTACGTTTGAAATATTACGATATTGCATGAGCATTTACTTTTCCTTTGATTAAATGTAATATTACAGAAAAGTGAACCTGATTCCCACAAATACATCAGCCATTTGAATCAATGTATTGCATCAGTCTAAAAGAATAAATTCATAAAGTACCTGTTTGTCAACAGTGCTGAGTAACACTGGCCCACACATCGTCGACAGCCATGTTGTAAAATCATCTGACACCTGTAGTCACTCTCAATAAGCTCAAATGCTATTGGACACGCTAATAAACGACACGTATCGACTTTTGTAATTATTTTTAAAATTTAAATGCACTCATCGGATGTTTATTTTCATAAATATATATCAAATGTCATTCATATGGCATAGGTTCGGATAATAATAATATATGCGCTTAAATGAACGTTATATATAACATTAATACTTTTTTTTTCAGTTTTCCGTTAACCAATCAAGAGCATCGTAGCATTGACTCAACACAACTTTTGGACGCAGTCGCAGATGAAAGGTCAATATGGCGGAAGATGGGTCTATGAACTGCAACTTTTTCTTGTATTTCCCTTCTTCCAAACCCGATAAGTGGACTGATTTCCGAAACATTGTGCCAAGAACATACGCATATCACGGCGAAACTGTGCGCTTTCTCTTAGTTTCGCAATACGATGGAAACTCGGACAATCAACAATGTTTACAGTCGTGGCACGATCGGATGCAAACGCTATGCATGTCTGCAAACGCAGGTTTTTACCACGAAGTTGGTAATATTGTTACAAACACAAACATCGATGCACTAGCCATTTCAGGGAAAGACGAGCATGGCTTCAAGAAATGTGAACCACTATCGGAATACTGCAAAACCAGTGAAATCTCGGCAAACGAGGTGAGCATGATTATTTTTATGTTTTTTTTGGGGGGGGGGGGGGGGTGTGGTCAGAATGATGAGCTTTCTGTGAAAATATTAATTATTAAGCATTAATATCATTAAAAATTTATATCTGATATGATGCATTGCATACACATAACAGTTTAACATGAAAGCAAATATACATATACTAGTAGTAAGAATGTTTTGAATGGACTGAATTCATGTTTGTATTGAATAAGAATATAATATTTTTGTATTAAATATTGAAACAGTAAAAAGTAAAGTAGTATTAAGTAAAAATTAATTAACACCTAAATTTGAAGTACTTGTAGTTTTGCTCTTAAGATAAAACATTAATACCAGTACCCTGGTATAAAAATAATAATAAATATGTATAATATATTTTTCTTAAAAAAGAAGCACTATCACTTAGTTGAAGAGAGCAAATTACGAACATTAAATAAAATTATAAATTATAAAAATGAATTCTTTGAAGGCACATATTGTGAGCCATTTTTGACTGTTTTGTTAATGTTATTTTTTTAATTTTTTTTTTGCTTATTTATCTACACTTACTCCCCGAAGAGAGTGGCAATGGTTACAGATAATAGTAAAAAATATAAAGTGATAATTTTGAAATATATTTTTGTTTCTGTTTTCATTTATTTAGCTTGCAAAACCAATCATGATTGGAGGAGATACAATAATTTTTCCCCTATCTGTGACGTTAGATAGGCTGCCAGTTAAGATGAACAGTGTGGATATATCAGTCTCACTGTGGACTCCGGAATACAATGATAAAGCACTTAAGTTGCATGGTTATTTAAAGTTATTTGTGGAGTCCGATCCTATGGCCATCCTCAAAGCAGCAAGCTCAGGGATCCAGTGCAATGGTAGGTGGTTTTTATAGATAGTAAAACATGATCAGATACATGACATTTACATGGCTAGCAACAGATGTTTCCCCATTCAACAGCTGTGGAATTGTCCTAAAATTGTGTAGCATTCTGAATACTGACTACCTAGTATACAAACGATAGTGTTTTATAAAAAGATAGTGGGAAAAAACTCCATCATATGGTGAATATTGATACAATGTATTTATATGTCGAAAATGAACCTTTACTTTTGTGGTATAGTGATATTCATGGCAAATTCCAACAAGAATTGTATTTATATTTCCACTCACAATGTTAGTATTAAAATAATCTGTTTTATAGTATATAGCAGTATCAAGTTAAAATTGTTGTACCATTTGTTTATTATAAATGTATACTGTAAAACATGTTGAAAAAGCGACATGCAATTTTAGCGAATTGTGGTAAAATGACGTAATAGCGAAATATGGATTTAGCAAATCTCTCTTGTCATTGTTGATTTCCTGTTTTCACAATACTTATCTGTCGCCTCCATAAAAACAAAGCAATACTGTCAAGTGTAATTTGATTCTGTTCACATCATAAAAAAATGATTTAACAGGGATCTGAAAAAGCGAGTATCGTTGCTGCATTACATCCAGAATATTGACCTTTTATATTTGGACTCAGAAATTACTAAGTACTACTAACTTTTATCATGTCAGTACGTTTTTTTTTGTGTTGTTTACAATGTGTGTGTAGAGCAAAAAGACGTTGTTTGGCGGCCATTTCAAATTATAATAAAGTCATTAGCAACCTCTTGAATTAGCGAACCAGTTCTCTCGCTAAATTCGCTAAAAAGACATGACAAGAATGACAAGAATAACTGTTTTGTGTCTTGTCACATTAAAAGTACAAAACCGTCTCCAATGCAATCTCTTTGCAAAATCTACATAGAAAAAGCAGTATTATTTGGCAGAAATCCACAATTTATTCTTTATGTCAAATGTGTTTATCTCTATTAGAGCAATTATGTATAACATAGCAGTATCTGTTACTGATAGTGTCTGAGTGTACAATTTAAGTCAGTAATTTATTGTCTCTCCACACTAGTATACTAGGCAACAAAAAATGAATTATTTCCAGTCTGTCAGTGCATGTGTTAATTGAAAAAGAGTCATTCACAATTATTTTTCTGCCTATATACTGTAAAAATAGAAAAATAAATGTTTTGGAACATCTCAGTACCAGAGAATTGTTTGTTGATACATGTACCCTTAGTTAAATATTAATTAATTTAATGTGGTTTGAATCCACCTTTGACAAATAACATCAGGTGGCTCTCATTTGAATTGAATATATAAAGTGACTTGTTGCATGCAAGGATTTCAGGGGATGTGGCTGACATCTTTTTCATTATCATTAATAATTACGGTAATTACAATAGGTGACTTTTATCAATTGAATTCATTATGTGGTTCACTACTTGCTAATATTGTACCGGTAGTAGCCGTAAAATCACATCTGTTGCATTGTACCACTTTAACAGAAACCACGGCTTCTAATACAAATTTTACAGAAGTACTGAAAAGTTTAAAAAAATGTTGAGTTCTGCTAAAATGATTTTATTGTCCATACATGTGTTTAGCTGTTGTTTTGTTGTCCCTTACATTTTCAAATAATTATGTAAAAGCCCTATTAAAAGTTAAGCATTACCAAATAACAGTCTGAGTTTAAGTTTCCTTACTGACAAAGTTTTACTCAGAGATTTTTCTTGTACCTTTATTTTGGGGGTATTGAAACTATTATATAAAATATTTAATTGGCTGTCAGCCAAAATCAAATGCATGTCAATATCATGTATGAAATGATGTTTAGTATATGTAAAGTTTGATTGCAATCATTCATGGTACATGTATGTCAGCAATATGTTTCTGTTTATGACTGGAATGTCTACTAGTCTGCTACAACTAGCTCCTACATTGTACTACCTTAGTATTTCTTTTTAATATTTTTATTGCTTTCCATCATGGATTATATTGATTTTAACATTGTCTGCTGACTGCTTTTTTGCCCACTGATTTTGGTATGTCTTTGGAGGATTTCAGCAGAAAATTTGTTGAATAAGGTACTAGTCCATGAAATTTTACTTTTTTTTTCTGTACTCCCAGTTCATGATCATTTGTTGTAACTCGATCATGGCACACAGATACACGTTCTTGTCAGACATGCCATTTATAAATATGCCTTGCTTCATTCAGTCCTCTAATGTCTGTATCAGCGACCCAACCATGACCCAGTCTAATTGATATCTTGGTGCAAATGATCTGTTCATGGTGTCACTGTTAATAAATGCACTGTCCATGTCATGGTGTATGTGGTGTTGATTGCAACAAATGAAGTCTTTCTGCTGCTCTCAATACATTTGTTATACATGTATGCAAGTGACTAATGCAAACCTACATACAGTGACGTGAAGGTATGAATCCTAAATGTAAACAAAAAGCGATAAACATATCCTTCTGTGATGTCAAACAGATATCACGGTGTAACCCAAAAAGTAGGGGCATGGTCACACATGTGAATTGAATTGCGACAGAAACATAAACAAATTTTGAGTTTCCAACTCAGAGAAACTGTCTCACATGTTAAATTAAATTTATTAGGTGTCACTTTCACAGTGTTAATAGAGAAACATTTATGTTTGTTTTCTAAATCTAACCAGCTACTCACAAAATTTGTACATTATATTTATAGTAGTAGAGTCAAATTTCCAGAGCATTGTTTGCTCACAGTAAAGGTGTGATAACCAAATAGCGCAAAGGTAAAATAAGTCAAACTTAAAGTAGGATTGAATACAGGGGTCAAAATGTGAGAGAGCAAATGTTGTTCCCATGAAACATACATGGGAACATAAATTACAGGAGATAACTAAAACTGGTGATGCTGATGACAATACTCTGCTTAAGTCAAAATTAAAAGAAATCTATGTTGAAAAAGTTTGGCTACCAACAGTCCAAACAACCCAAAACAATAAATTACATACATACACTCAGTTCAAACCTACATATAAATTTGAACCATATTTGAATCAAGTAAAAAATGCACAACATAGAACCAGCTTCACCAAATTTAAGATATCTGCACATACCCTACCAATTGAAAAACTTTGATATCAAGGGATACCTCCAGAGGAAAGAAAGTGCCAACTTTGTAACAATGGGGCTATTGGCAATGAAATCCATGCACTTTTAGACTGTAACCATACTGGAATAACAAATGCACGTACTGAATTTCTGAATGTAGTTAGCATTTATAATGAAAGTATCCTTAAACTATCAAAACAACAAATGTTTACCGAAATTTTAAGTTCGAGAGATGGGTTCATTGCCAATAGTGCTAGCAAATTTATTGACAGCATATTATTTTACTATAAGTAATTTTACTTAGACTTTAGTTATTTATGTATTTTCTTTTTTCTCGTGTGTGTACTTGTGTTTTATTATATTTAATGTCTTTTGACCACAGATAATGTAACAAAATATATTATTTAGGCGTCAAATAAAATATATACTATAATATACTACATGCTGAACCAAAAATCGAAATTTATCCAGCCTAGGACAGGTACATGTACAACATTGATTGGAACAGTTGGAGAACCATGCATGTGCAACATGGTATAGTTTATAATGTCATTTGTAAAAAAAAATCTATATTTAGACTATCGGTAACTCATACTTTCAAAATGCAATGCATTGAATGATAGCTATGTTATATTCTTGAGATAACAGGAGCTGACTTGCATGTAAATTGGGACATACATGTACCAGATGTTACCCTCCCATTGTGTTAAACATCCAGAACAATATATATACTCACATGTGTACAGCCGATGAGAAGGTCAGAATAAAGTTGTCCGTAGCAAGAGTATTAAGCAGAGTTGGGATATTTCTTGTATCATATAGTTACAACAGTAATTATGATGCCATCAGATTTGTGTTTATGACTCACTCATATAAAGCAGTGGAATTTAAAGTGGTAGATACCAGTACCACGTTGGTCATGTGTTGACATGCCATCATCACTATGCAAAATCAAATGTTTGTTTTTTCAATCAATTATTGTATCTGATGATATAAATGTGTGTTCCACCATTTATAATACACCATATCGAAAGTATACTATATATCAGTCTTATTATTGCTCTAAAGTTTTGTTATGTTTCATGTCGGTAATTTTTTGTTTTCTAGGTATTTATTTTCAATTGTGAAATAAAATCTAGCAAAATTTGCATCTGATTTCCAGTTCATTTTTTTGATACATTAGAAGTTCACATGTATACAAATCTTACACATTGATCTACATTATTATATCATTGAACATGGTGATGTAAATAGTGTTCTGAATCCCATGTTTGCATTAGTACATGTATTCCCCCAAATCAGAAAGATGTTTGTTTGCCAAATTTTGTTTCAAAAACTTGAACAACTGAAATAATGAGATGTTGATGTGGCTGTATGATCACTGGTTAACTTTGGCATCGCTGGTCAAGTATTAAATTTGAATAGCAAACAGTGAAATGTACTTGAAAATGTTTCCACTTGACCTACATTTACTTGCTGTCTCTTCTCTCATACTGTATGTCTTTGTATACATGTATATCATCTTTTGTCATTATCAAATACAATTTAATTGTCATAAGTTTCAGTCAATTCAATAATCTTTTGTACTTGTGGAAGTATTGAACAGAAAATAGAATAACACAATTCTCACAGAATATGATTCATTATAAAGTACCGTTTATATATTGAACCTCTTGTTTGCTTTAGATTTAAATTGGTGTTTGATTGTTTTCTAGGGTGGGAGTTGTTACATTCAATTAGGTGATCTATTAATATTATTTGTACCAAAATATTCCTATTTTAATTCAAGAAAATATTGCAATAATCCTGGTCATGTGTATTGTACTACCAGGGTAATTCATTTAGTACTACCGTTAATTTATTTTGCCCTGCTCCTACACACTAAAATACATAATTGTATAAAAGCTCCCTTAAATCTAACTTGAATTTATGACAATGTTGTGTTCCTGGAGAAAAGGTTATGAGGTCAGAAAAGGTTTTATAAGAATACAGGTATATGAATTGTCAAAATACCTGCTATTGTAAAGGGGGTAATTATTCACTGGGTTTTAATTTACCCGTAGCTTATTTCGCTGACTGGAAAATGCGCTAAATTAAAACCCAGTGAATATGCAAAATTTAGCATGGAACATATTATCTAAATGATAAAACAGTGAATTTAAAACCCACTGAATATGCCTGAAATGGTAAATCAGTTTAATTTTAACCCAGTGAAAATTAGTCATTTTACAGTACTACATTTATATGTACAATGTACATGTATATGCACCACTCATATTGAGACAGTCAATTTACCATGAGTACTGTAAACAAGAGATACTCGCATATCAAATGATATTCTTAGCTAATCTCTGAATTATTAAGATGTAAAGGGTTGAAGGATAATCCAAATAAAATAATGGCAAGCAGCATTAAGGGTGTTAAAATCAGGGTATCATTGTTTTGCCATAGAGGGCAGTCTTTCACCCACCTGTCTACAGTTACAGCACTGTTCATTTCATACACTGTTGAGTACACAAGGCATTTACATATTATATAATCATGGTTTATTAATATTATTCTACACATGTCAGTGCATGCATCATGTGACTTGCATGGGCTTGTTTTATACATGGTCTACAGTTTGTGGATAATATAAAATAACATGCCTTACCCCCAGATCAAAAATAACTTTCTTATGGTGATTATTTTGTCTTGTATTGTAAGATTTAAAGTTTGCTATGACAATTTCCCGGTGGATTGTTTTTGTCTTTCTTATTCTTGTTTACACATGGCAATTGTATTAGATCAGCCATAAGACAGACTACAATTAATTATATAGACATTATAAGTTTTGTTTAATTACACAGCACTGTAAAATTAGTATTAATTTCAGATATACTATAATGTGTGTTAAATTATAAAAAAAAGTGAAAAAATATATAAAAAACAAAATTGTGTATGAAATTTACGTGTAATAAAATTATCGTTGTGAGTAGGAGCATGTATGTGATTGGGGTTCAAATTAACTAAATATCATGAATTGTAATGCATATTGACATATACATGTATAGCATGACTCATCAAACGGTGTCAATAATGTGAAATTCATACTCTCTGCTCACTTTTTTAATAAAGGCGCATGACCTCCAGTTTTTTTCATTTATTTCATATTTTTGTAATCTGATTTAATCTGTAGTACCAAATGCATACGTACAATGTCAGGCAGAATGTAAAGTCATTTAGAGAGATGGAAATTACTTATGCCTGTTGCCACGTATTTAGTGCCAGGAAGGTCATGATGGCTCAGTGATATGTGGATTGAAAGATACATGTATGAAAAAAAAAATGCATCAAACACATGATTAAAAGTTATTCAGTAGAACTTCTTTGACATCATTGCATTCTTTGCTTTCTGGATAGTAAACTTCACAAAAACATGCAACTACACCATTTAGCCTAACTGTGCTTGATCCCTTACGAGAACAAAATGTAGTTTTAATTAACAACGGTGATATAGTAAAGATAATGTAAGTTTGGTGTCTGTTAATTCATAGACAGTATACTGACCATTCAAATTCAAATTGTGTTTAATAATTTAACACATGTTGTTCAAGCACAGAATGTTTACTGGAATTTTAATAAAGGTTTTGGATATATAGCCATTAATCTTTGTCTTTTTGCCTTGAACTTGTTATGATAATCTATAATCTTTATTAGCTCCGCTGTCGACAGAGCTGAGCTTATCATATGAGTGATTGTCCGTCGTCCGTGTCAATGTGTTACTTTTTCGACTTCTTCTTGAAAACTATAAGCCTGAATGCTTTGATAATTGATGTATATGTACCTTGGGTAGACCTCTCTCAGATTTGTTCATTTCATGATGATATCTTCAATTCTCTAATTTTGGTGAATATTTTTGTCATTTTTGGTAAAAAGTGATATTTTCAACTTCTTGTTAAAAACCGCAAGTGCAATTACTTTGATATCACATATATAGGTACTACATGTGGACCTCTCTCAGATTTGTTCATTTTGTAATGATATCTTTAATTCTCTAATTTTGATGAATACTTTTGTAATTTTTGGTAAAAAGTGATATTTTCGACTTTTTGTTGAAAACCGCAAGTCTGATTATTTTGATACTATACATATTGTTCATTTTCTAATGATATCTTTGTTCTTTAATTGAAATGTGCATTGATAACAGCGGAGCTATCTCAGCCGAGAGGCTGCTTGTTAGAATATGTTATGACCTTGTTTTGTGAACCACCTTCTGCATTTGCCTCTTATATCTGAAAGTGATGTCAGGCAAGGTTTATTTTGGTAAACAAAATATTATAATATTCTGATCAATACATCCAATTGACTCAAATATTTACAAATATACTAGTACATGTATTGTAATAAGAATGACATTTCAGATGCAGTAAATAGCACCAGTGTCTTTGTTACATGTATCAATGGAATGTATTATGATTTTTTTCTTTATTGGCCATAAACTTGAACTTACAAGTAATAAATTATTCACCTTTTTTTTTTCAATCACACATGGTGTATTTACTGCGGCTAAACAATAAACCTACTTAACAATGAAAACATGCGTCACCTGGGGCATGTATATTTAATCCTATTTCTATGGACCATAAGAGATGAACTCACAATAGGGGAATGCACATTGATATGGAGTGTTTTCACAGCAGGGACTGTGATAAAATATTTAAGCACAGTAGCTGCATTTACAATCCAGTCAGATGCACATACGTGTGTGTGTTGCTGATCCTATTGCAAATCTGTCTGTCACTCAGTGAGAAGGTATTTTGAATTTGTGTTGTTTCATAGATTTACCTCAATATTTGCGAGTATATACAGAGTGCAGACCATTTTATAGTGATTTATGCAAGGTACGCCTGCCCTGCTTATATATATAGACAATATATTCTTTGTTCATGTACAGTTAGTCTGCATCACTATGTTATAATCGGCCAGCCAAGTCTAACCATTCATTCATTGTTTGTACCTCTTTCAGAAATGCCACTCAACCTCTTTACCCTGCTTTAATGGTCGATTTCACTCAATAGCACTATCCTAACATTCATGCGTTCTTGCCTCTGCTCTTTTATTGGTCAACAATGCAGTTTGTTTTTTGCAATTCTGGTTAAACTATCAGTCGTGCTGTTACGCTGACTGTCCATTCTATCAGTTTGCTTATATCAATCTCTCTGCACTGTGATTCGTCACTGTACCCGTACATGATAGCCGAGGTCGTGACTGTCATACCAGCTGATCATTACACACATATTTATAGATCATCGGTACCCAGTACTTATGATTTAAGGTGAATCCTATCTCGTTTGAGAAGTTAATTGTCCATGCTTAGATTGCATTCCACTGTCAGCTGAGCGGCAGCATCTGCCTCATGGCGTACTCTGTGCCCGACGTTTTCTGCACATATACAACATGTGCTAGTATGTTGTTGTAGTTGTTCGTATCATTTTAAATAGATTGTCCCATGATTTCAATCAATATTATTCTGAAATTTTGTTTTTCATCAACAGTGAATGCCACAATGAGTCTTTTGTCGCCGCCATGTGTGGGGTGTAGGCATATATCAGTGGCGGGAAAGCAATATGTTCTTGTCAAAGGTACGTAACTGCTTCAACTCTTTAAGTGCTAAAACCATCTTTTGTCTTCTTTATCTTGCACAATTTTTTTTTCATTTTTTTTTTCCAAATTATATCTAACCCTGTTGCCAGTGGGACATTATTTTTTATTTTAGTCAGCAATTAGCATCTAGAAATTACATATGAATTCATAGAATGTATATATTATTCTACTTATGTTTTGATGGGAACAAAATCCTGGTGCTTGATGGGATAACACTTTATGTTTCCCATGCTAATATACATATCATCAAAATACCTTTTTTTAATGAAAATGTACATATTGTGAAAAACTAGTAGATATTCAAAAAGGATCCAAAATATTCATAGCACTGGGTAAAGTTCAAGAGCCATTTTCACCAGAAACATTTTACTTTTGAATTAGAGGTGTTCTGAGATATCAGAATTACAAAAATACCCTTTGAGTACGATACCTGAAAATTGGCATAGACCAGGGTTACAATATATCTCTCAATTACAGTCTTGAAATATATTCCCAAAGTTATTAAATATCATTTCTAAAACTATTAGTTTGTGTCATAAACTGTATACATTACAAAATAGTTACTGGTACTGAAAGTGCAGACCCCCATTATAGATGATATTGTGCACCCATGTTCAGGCATGGTAGATTAACAAAGTAAAGTAAATATTGTCGTAAATAAGTAGTTTTATATAAAATTACTCAAATAAATGTCTTTCCCTTAAGTCTTGTTGTTCTAAAGAAAATTGTACAGCAATAAAACCTGTACAGCACAACACTTCTGCATGTTTGCTGTACTTTGCGTTTTATTCCCATTACTGTAAGAAGAGGAACATTACTGAATTAAATAACCGTATCTTTATCTTTAATGCACATTTGTGTAATTCTGTCTTTCTTTTGAATAACATAATATAGGTATACGGTACCATTGATATTATGAAAACCGTGAAATTAAAACTTTGTTTTGCTTTTATACATTGTATAATGCCTAACAAGATCATTTTTCTTATCTTTATGAAATCTAACATGCTTTCTAACGAACATGCTTTAATCTTTCTATAAAGCTGCAACTTTCTTACAAATTTCCTTGTCTTCCTTGTTTTCTGTTCACAGTATCTAACGACTTTAAAGATGTGCTAGTTCTTCATAATTTAAAAGTTCTGCCAAACAGTAACGATAATTTCTTACCTCCTAGTCCAGATGGTGCTCACAAAAATAACTTTATCAATAAGGAGTAAGTACAAAGTTATCCTCCTAAATTGTTTCACTTCTTCTTCTCAATACTCATTAAAGTTGCACTTGATGTTATAGATTTAATGTTATGTAACATATTTGATTCTGTAGTATGAATTCAAAAACATGTTTAGGAAATTATTAGTCCCCGTTCGGACGCAGTTGGAAAACGGGGACTTATGTTTTGACCTCTGTGTGTCCGTGTGTGCGTACGAACCTGTATCTTAAAAATGCCTGGACCAATCACAATCAAACTTCACACATACATCATACATGATATTATACTTATGCACATCAATATGTTTCATGATCTAATTCAAGATGGCCGAATGGCGGCCATTTTTGTGCTAAAAATCATCAAAATCAAGCATTTCCTGGCTATTCACAGATGGATTTTGTTCAAACCTTGTATATACGTTGAACATTATAGGACCTTGATGAAAATCATTTTGTTTTACGATCTGATTCAAGATGGCTGAATGGCGGCCATTTTTGTACTAAAAAATCATAAAAATCCAGCATTTCTCGGCTGTTTACAGATGGAC